AAAATAATCTTAAAACATGTGATTACTACATCATTACTGTGCCCAAACAAGGATGTACCTGTATACAGATGTGATTTTCACTTGCTGCAGCTAAAGACTATAAGGAGACTTGGTTCCTCTGCAAAACACTTCAAGGTCTGCTGGTGAAAGCACAGTGTATAAGAGCTAGGTATTATTATCTTTTACTGCTTTCTTCAAAAGACTGCAAAGGGCACCTATGCTGTTGAATGGTGTATCTTCTATTAGAGACTAGTAAAAATGCAAATAAATAACTAAAGCACTTTCAATGGGTTTAATTACCTTTACACATTTGAACAACATAATTCCTGATGGAAATGTTGATGAACTTCTATTTTAGCACCATTTGTTGCTCTATAGAGAGGCTTAAATAATTGAGGTATGGTTTTTGAATTTTTAATTAGATTTAGATAATTCATCTTGGAATGCGTATCTGTTCAGGAAATCTGAAACTTGAAAGGGCATGGCTAATCAGATGCTCTAGCTTCAGCTACATGTGCAACGTGCAGTTCCACAAATGTCTAATTGCTGTAATTAGTATTCAAAACCAATTGTGCAGTTTTTAACTATCTTGATGGCTGTGTTTGCTTGCCTGAGTTTTTAGGTTATCCAGTGTTGGATGATTTGAGGTACTGAAACAAGTGTAAGTAGTGCTGCATTTTAAAAGCAGAACTGCTTTAAGCTGAAAGCACTGGAACCATACTAAGCTGAGCCCTACCACCTGTGGGACAGGGGTGCAGCACCAAGTTTCCTTTTTGTCTGTGTCTGGCAGCCTTTAGCTTAGTCCAAGTTTGCATTAGGAAGTGGGAATTCCCTGGAAATTTCTTGCCTGGAGGATGATTTCAGTTGGAGTGGCTTAAATCATGAACTTGCCAAGAGAATTAAGGAGAGGAGAAGACTGGCTACTTGTAGAGCTTTCTGTTAGTTGGGAGTCTGCAGGCTATGGAATTCTGCCCTGCAGATATTCAGAGATTTCCAGCAGGAACTGCTGAGGAGCAAGGGGCTGATTTACAGCTGGAGCCACTTTCCTCCCACATGGTATTGTTAGCAGGGCTGCTTCTGCATCACCAGAAGGATGCTGCTCTTGGGAATTTCTGTTGCTTTTTTTCTGTCGCCTAAAGGAACTGTTATCTATCAAAGTACAATGTATTATAATTATTTATAAACTAATTGCGCCGTTTTGTAGTAAGCACTGGAGTCTGGCTCCTAAATATAGGGAGAACAAAGAAAACTTTAGAGTAGACACTCATTGGAGACCAGGGCTCACTTTGTACACCAGAGGATATCCCCAGCCTACAGCCCAGGACTGAGATGTAGTTTTCATGGTACAAGTACATGGTTCAAGTACAGCGTAAGTGAATGCAACGACAGAGATTCGGTTCTCACCAGAAAGCAAGAAACTTTGTAGTTTTCTCTGTGCAGACGTTGTTTAAAAAAAAAACTAAGTTCTGTCTGATATTCATCAGTAATCTGCATATGATTTAGCAAGAATTTGAATTTAAAAAAAAATGTTAAAGAAGCAGCCTTACTGGATGCCATTGAGCTCTACAGCAATTACAGCATATTATGTATTATTAAATATTTAACTTGTGACATGATTAGCATGGAACTAATAGTAATTTTTTATGTCTGTTTAGAAATTTAAGATCTAACGGTAATCAAATAAGTCAAGCTTCACTGGGTATTTACTTTAGTGTAGTATCTATAAATACTGCATCATTAAAATCTGAAAAAGTAAGCACAGAAGAAATGTGTTCACAAGCAATACCAAGACTTATAGACACCAGTTTTTAACACAATATTATTTTGTGTAGGGCACTTGTAGAGTTCATTTTCTGTTTGAGGTACTTATATATTAAAGATTGTTATTGATATGTTTGGATAGCTGATGTCAGGGCTGAATTTGACCATAAATCCTAAGAAATGGGATTAAAGTTGCAATAAATCTGCAGAGGTTATATTTGCATTTAAGGTCAAGGCCAGAATATTTCATTGGTGAAGACACATTTAGTGGCTACAGTCACATCAAAACCAGGTGACATTTTAGCTGAAGGAAGACATCTGTACATCAGGTTGTATAGCTCTTTGTTTTTAAATTCTTAGGATACTTGTGCCAGGTAGTACAACTTTGTCCTGTGTTGGCACAGAAAAGAAAACTGCATTGCGTAAAAGCTCTTCTGATCTTGTCCCTGTGAAGAAGAATGCAGTATGTTGGATAATACTGATATTATTAGTATGTTGTATAAGCTTTAATGGAGAATCTGCTCAGGTTCCATGATACAGACGACTATCTCCATGAGCATCAAGAATTAGAAGTGCATTAAAACTGCTAGTACAATGTTACCAGGCAGTGCATTAATCCTACTGTGTGTTTCTGTCAGTGTTACGTGACTTCTTGCCAAAGCATGAGTGCGGGTGTAGCTCATTTACAATAGCAATTCGAGAACATATTTTATCCTCCAAGACTGGATGTTCATAGTGCTAACATTGATCCAGAATTCTTCTGAAGCCTGTATTTTTTTCTTTTTGCTAAGGAAATTGTCTATTTATAGTAGAACTCCTTTTGTATTATAAACCTTTACAGAAAACCACGAAGGGGATAATGGCTTGGGGTTGTTATTGAAGTATACTGTTGGCATGGCTGCCTGGGGAAACCAAGAGTCTTACCTGTCTAGACCTTGTACTACACCTGACTTAACTTCTATGTTAGTAGAGCTTCACTCATAGATTGACTACAACTTTGCTATTCTTTTTTATTAATATATTTTAAAATATCCTACAAATAATCATGAATGTGCCAAGATTTGGGCTGCATTTTCAAAAAAATTTAAAAGCATGTATTTAAGTTGTATCTGTATTGTTCCTGACTATGGTACAACTAAGCATATGAACTCAAATGTGCCTGGTTAGTGCATTGTAGTTAAACGTACATGGTGTCTGTGCACTATTGAAACTGTTTACATAACAAACATATACATACAGCAGTAAAACATACTTACTAAAACTCTCGTCAGTTTGTCAAGACATACAACCTAGGGACACAAGAGAGAATAATTTTGGAATTGTAGCCTTCTAAACTATATCTCTTAAATGTGCAATTTATCATTTAGAAGGGCTTTCCATCACAAGGCTGTTTTGCCACAGAGGTAATGATCTTGTGTATTCTGAAAGGATACAAATGAATTGTTCCGTAGTTGTTGTGGAAATAGCTCTTTACTTAGCATGAAAGCAGGCACAATGAAGGCTAGATTGTAATGAATCCTATGTATCTAATATCAATCTATCTTCATGACAACAGATGCAAACTTTGCAATACTTCAGCTGGCATATAATGAATATGTTATATCGCTATGCTAACAACCTTCCTCTGCGTTTTTGTGGTTTGCAAAATGCTATTGAGGACATGGAAGCTGCTTGTTCCTTTATTTCTAACAAGGAATGTGTATAAAACTGGATATGACTGAAAACCTGTGTGATAATTAGCTCCACTTAGATTTGAATGAAGCTAGACTAGTTTTTGAAAGCAGTTTTCCATTTTTAAGTGGGTGATAATTAATCACGTAGCTCAAAACATTAGCCAAATCAAGCTTTTAATTTTATCACAAATGGCACAATATTAACTATTTTGGAATTTAAAAATTATGGCCCATGTGTTCTTCACTCCAAATTCTGATGGCTGCTTTAAAAATGAGCAATCCATTTACTGTTAATGCAACAGGGCCAGCTTTATCCATCACATAATATCCAACAGCAGCCTGTTGGATTTATGTCAAATCCTAATTTTAAATTATGGCTTTTTTTTCTTTGAAAAACAGTTTCATGTTGCATTCTCTTTCCTGGAGACGGCTGTATAGTTTTGGAGTATCATACAATGTCACAAAAGCCTTGACAGCCAATGTCTGATCCTGTTCCAGAGATTTATGCCTGCCAACCTAATAAAGAACATGGACAATTATTTTTCTTTTAATCCCACTGGATTTCCCCAAGGAGCAAGAAAAAGGATTACTTCATTGCCTGGCATGCCAGGGTTTTGTAATCCACTTCTGCTGCTATTTCTGTTCTGGTGTTCAAATGGAGTGGGAGAGCAAGTCTTGAAAGCTGTGCAGCAGAGCTGCACGGCATGTATGTGTCAATGCATAAAAAACACATTCTAACATTCAGCCAGGCCTAGTAATTTTTTTTTTCAGTGTAAAGAAAAATCTAGTGGAATAAAGTTTTCATTATATCTCATTAATTGAATGCATGCTTTTCCTGCATTCTAATCTCTAGGTTTGAAATATGTCATTACAATGGCAAGTTTATGTGTGCTGCATATACCATTTCATGTATACCTATATGAACCCAACAGCTCACAAAACAAAACTAATATTAGGTATGATTCAGTTACAAAGGAGAAGTTTTAAAAGTTTTCCAGACAAAAAATAAGTTCTGCATTAGTGAAAGGTTGCTTAATGGTCTTTTTATTTTGAGCTGTTGAGCAAAAACCTTCACTATTTTTCTGATGCACCATTGTAAGCATTTTGCTTGAAGTCTGAAAGTGAAGCTTGAAATATCAGTTCTGGAGAAGGCTGTTAAAATTTCACTTACTTTGATCTCTAATAAGTAAGATCAGAGGAGTTGCTGTATGTGTGAGCACAATCTATTGTGGTTACAAACCCAGCTCGCCTACAAGCCCAATCAATTAGAGTAGATTCAGATGATCCATTCCTTCTTTGGACAATTGATGAAAGGGAAATGCAGGAAAAGAGAAACAGTAATGATATAAAATAACCAGTTTTCTCACCAGTTGTTCTTGATTTCGGAGAAAATTAGGTCTGCAGCCATTACAGGGTGACTCAGATTAATATACCATTATACTGCATTGCAGTCTTTGAATTGCTTTAATATCTTTCACTTTGAAATTTTAGCATACTGTGAAATACTGACTGATGACATTTCAGTAGTACTGGGTGAAGTAGATAAGCATTATCCTTATGTTACAGGTGGAGAAACTGAAGCATAGAGGGAAGAAACACTGTGTTTATATGGCATGCCACTGACAGAGGTAAGTGCAAAACTCAGAAGCACTAACTAATGATTTCAAAATAAGAGTGTATTGGTGAAGGCTGCAGGTGGGAGCCTTCACAGGATTGTAGTGATTCTACCTGGGCTGTGAGTGTGCTGCTTATGGGTATGCATGCTGTGTAAGTCTTGCTGCTGCTGCCTCAGATCAAGAAGAGCAGTGGCTCACTTAAACTAGTGGCTGTAGTTATGAGTTTATGGAATAGAAGCTCTGTTTTTTTGGAAAAAAATGCTGAAAAGGAGGTTGTAGATACCAAGGTCTGTCATAACTTGCCCCTATGAATGGAAATAAAGGTAAGATATGAGTGCTACCATGTTGTTTTCTTTTTTTTTAATGCCATGCTAAAGCCCTCTTTGAGCTGTTTAAAACATCCAAAAATGAGATATGATTATTGGAATTTGAGAAACAGGAATAATAAAACATTTATTTATGGACTGTGGAAATTTTTCTGCTTACTTAAATTAAAAATTGAGGATCATCAAAAGTCCTAGGAGCTCTGTTGCTATTAGGAGATGAGGTTTGATTAGAAGCTGTAAGTTCTGTGTGATCATGATCAACTATGCCTGGTACTTTAGCTGCCACGTTGAAGAATTTTTTACTTGAGGCTTTTTTCACAGTATGCTATAGAAAAGCAATGACCTAATCTGTTTGACAGATAATAGCTGGAAATATGGCTTGCATTTGTTAGGGTAGCCCTGTTAAGTTGAATGAAGGTACTTCAGTATACATATGTTAACTATCTTGCCCAATAATAATAAAGTAGCAAGGTAGTACAGAAATGAAAGAACCTCAACACGTTAAGTGTAACTAGTTGTGCGTCTGTTAATGACAAACAGCAGGGAGAATGCACCTCCCTGTATGTACCCTGCGTGTACCAAAGAGTTCATTCAAGTGGATGTGTTTCGTCACTGTGTATCTCTCAGCTTAATTCTTCACTCTAAAGTATTAAAAAGAGTTTTTTATTAGGTCCTGTTTCTCATTTCAAATTCAGTCTCATTTCAAATTTATCGTAGTTGTAGCATGCCCTAGAATCAGCTAATGAGGAGCAGTTACAGACAGATGTGAAACTGTATGTACCTCATAGGAATTGCATAGAAAACACTGCTGTCAGGAGACACCTTTTCATTTAGATTTATTTCAGAAATTCAACATTCTCTTTCCAAGACTGTTACTTTTTAAAGCCAGTGTTGTTTTTTCAAATAAACCCTAGCTCTCAACATTCACAAGACGTTGTAAAGTCAAATAATGAGACACCCAAAATAGGCTTAAAACTATTAGTGATCTGCCACCTGGTGGTCTGACCTGTTTGAGCTGATGTACACTTTATTAACAGCAATGTAATTCCTTTGAAGTCAATGCCATTAATGTGCTCCTCGTTAAAAAACAGCATGAGAATTGCATAACACTCAATCTAAAGCTATGGTCATGTGTTATTCCAGGGTTATATCTTATCCAGGACTGGAGTCATTTTAACTAGAATGAAGGAGATCGTTATGATTGAATGACTATTTTAATTAAATATTTAGGGTGCATTTCATGTATACCAGAGGCAAAAATAAAATGCTAGGTTAGGTGTTAGAACTGTAGTAGAACAGATGCACAGTCTTGATGCCTTCCTGAATTTGCATCTTTTAGGCAATCAAAAGAAGGTAACCTGTGATATTTCCGTGTTTATGTCATAAGATTCAAATACAGTAATAACAGCAGCATTTGGCACTCATACTGACCATTGCATTCTTTTTTCACAAAGTGCCTTACAAATGCAGACAAACTAATCTTCCTAATGCCTGTTAAGTATGCAAGTGCTGCCATGAGTTAAGTTAGGAGAAAGCCTTCTGGCCCACAGTAAATAAAAATGTCACTAAAACTAAAAATATACAGTCTAGTAGCTGGGTTCTGTAACTTGGAAATCAAAAAGCACCATATTTTCATTTCATCTTCTGCTCCAAATTAATGCTCCCCAGGATTTTAGTACAAAAGATGTTCTCCGTTGGTATAATTGTGAATCAGTGATGTCCACTTGCAATTGTGAAACCCAGAAAGGTAGTACAAATGAAAAATAACAAGTAAAGGCTAATTCTTAATGTTTGGGTTTTTCACACAGAGAAGCAAACCCCAAGGTTGAAGGGTTAGGGAAGGAAGATAGGAAAATAGCAGTTAAATCCATGAGATGACTTCTAACTAAATAAGTTATTAAAATGGATAACCAAATACACTTTTTGAGCAGAAAAATGTAGAAAATGGTGTCATAATATCTGCTTGTAATAATTTACTTAGCTATACTACCAACTTGCAACAAAACTGGAAGATATTTTGTGATGCATGTATTGAGCTAGGTGATCTCAGAGGTCTTTTCCAACTACAATGATTCTGTTATTTCATTGGTGCTGGAATGCCATTTACCCTGGATAGCAGTCTTATCCTGGCTGACTGTCTCTTAAAATCATAGAGTCATAGAATGGCTTGGGTTGGAAGGGACCTCAAGGATCATCAAGCTCCAACTCCCCTGCCACAGGCAGGGCCACCAACTACCAGTCTGAAATTAGACCAGGCTGCCCAGAGCCCCATCCAATCTGAACACCTCCAGGGACAAGGCATCCACAACCTCTTTGGGCAGCCTGTTCCAGCTCCTCACCACTCTCTCTGTGGAGAACTTCTCCCTGATGCTGCACCTTCAGCAAAGATGTTTTTTCATTCTCCACACTGATGCTTTGTCTTCTTCAAGAAAAGAAGTCTAATATGTAAATGCATAAAAATTAGTACACCCTCTCCTTGTAACTTCCTTTAGAATTTGGACTTGGACAATTACTTCTCATAATTTCACAATCAGGCAGCAGTTAAAATCTGATGAAGCTGCCTCAAGTTTCTTGCCCTGGCCTGTGGGAGTTCCACCAGCTTGAAGAAATAGCAAATGAGAGATGGAGGAATGGTAAGAGTCAATTGCACTAATTTTATCTGTCAGCAAAGCAGAAAGAGGAAGAGACGCAAATGGAACATCCTGCACTCTGACACCAATTGTCAGAATGACTTCTTAACTTCTCCTGTAGGGGATTGCAAATGTTGTTGCCTGGACACCATGCTATCTTAGACTGAAGGAGCTCTCATCAGTTTCTAAATCAGTGCATTACAGCCAAATGTAAGTATAGGGATCTATCTTTCTTGACAATCTCTTTTATAATTCAATTTTGTTTCTCTGGTAGAGATATCTATTTGGCATTTTTCAACAAATCATTTTTACAAATGTAGATAAAAAAGACTAAGCAATTATTTTAGCACAATCATGTAGTCTCAATAAATTACTCAAACTGTCTCTAAAGAGTTTTCTCAGTTTTCTCTTTTACTGATATCTCATTCTTTATATGCCAGGAAATTATTTTACTGATTTTTAAGCAGTGTGCATTTATCTTTTTTCTACCCTAGCCTTTCCTATCATGGATGTGTCTTCATCTTCATTTTGTTGTCTAATGCTTGGATATTTTATTCTTCCCCAGATCTTTGATTACCTCAAGTAATCTTTGCAAATTGTAATTCATAAATGTTGACCCTTTCTGTATTTGTTGTTGATTGTGAAATAGAAGCCCAGTGCACTCATTAACTTTCCTTCATTTTCTGCTTTTTCTGCTTTGCTTCATTTCATTATTTCCCACATCATTGTAAAACTGACTTTTTGGGGGAAAATGGCTTCATGACTCTGGCAGTACTTTTCTACAACCCTGACTTTTCTCTGAGTATTAACATGCAAAATGATGTCTCCAATTAAGGGTCTCAGATACATTTCACTGAGATGTGACCAAGTAATTTTGCTTGGTGAGTTGTTCCTTTGATTTAATGATTCTCATTTACACTAGCTCCACTTTTACAGGGATTGGCAATAAATGAGATTGTGTTAACATTTAATCTGTTGTTGTAATTAGCAGCTGATAAATATAAGCATTTGTCCCTGGAATTCTTTGCTTGCATTGTGACAGTCAAAATCTTCCCGTTTGAAGCAGTTTGCTGTTCAGCTTCATGAGATTTTTAGTTAATTATCTCAGCATGGAGGTTCTTCTTCTGTAGTGTGTACAAGATAAATCCTATGGTCCATTTGGACTCTTGGCATCCTGAAATGTAAAACCATTCACACCAGTTCTGTTATTATTTATGAAATTTAATATCAGCAGTATTCTGGATTTCTGCAATGTTTTAGTACTCTGATTATAACTCAATATTACTTATTTTCATCTAGACTCCTAACTAACCTCTAACTAACCTAACTAACTAACTCCTAATGTTGTTTCCTCCTAACTTTTGCTCACTACTATGAAAATTGAGCAGAAAGGTCTCTGTATAATGGCTACATTTTGTATTCTGGTAGATATTTACTTACAATGACTAAATTGAAAAAAATATATGTATGACAATAACCATGAAACCATAAAGAATCATTCTTTTATGCACGTATTTTAGAAATTCCAAATATGTTTTCTTAAGATGTTTTCCACAGTAAGTTTTACAATGAAATAAAATTAATTTGCATTTAAAATGCATCTTGAAGAACAATCGATAAAAGTAAAATTCCAGCTGTGCAGCAACTGACATAGTTTTCCCAGTGAAGCTAATACTTTATAGTGGCATTAACATAGAGCTCTATTCTTGTTGGCCAGGGACTGCAGTTTGTGCTTTTTATTTTATTTTATTTTTTTTTTTAAGGCCAGGTAAAATCCTTTGTTAACATCAAAAATCTTAACTCAGATTCAGGCTACACATATGCCTGCTATTTTTTTTCAGGATTCAGAAACACAAAATAAAAAAAAGTCATATATTCAGGAATGGCAAAACACTGATTTACTGCAACGTGCTGTACATTGATACAGAACCATGAAAAAGTCCTTCACCCTTTCACCCTTTTTTTTTATTAGATGTTATTGAAAGGGTATTAATCACAATACCCTCCTTAGAAGAACAGAATCAAATACAGCCTTGTCCACAATGTTCGTGAGTTGCTGGCATTTGAACAACTGTGTTGTGTGCATTCATTTCTTATTTTTTCATATCACTGCTACCAGACTCGTGAAAGTTAGAAACTCAGTCCAAAGAAGCCTAGCAAATATTATATTCTATCTCTTCCACTTAAAAGAACACCTGTAATCCTATTCTGAGGGATAAGCCATTTGGTTAGAATCTAGACTTCCCTCAGAAATTAAAAAAAAATCTACTTTGCCTTTGGATGTGTATTTAATATCTGGTAAAACAGACTGGAACTGATCCTTTTTTAAGTAAGGTATAAAGACAGGAAGATAACTTCTGAATCAGGAGAAGATAGGGAATAGTTCATGGTTGAATTTGTTTCTTTTGCATAATTACTTTTTGTATAAAATCTATGAGTTCTGTTTAGCTAGTGGGTAACAATTCAACAGCTAATTAAATAGAGTATAACAAAGAATAAAGCTGAGCATGTATTAATATGCCCTTATTTTGTTTAAATGTTTTGTGAATTGTAAGTAATGGAAGTTATTTACATAATTTAATCTTTTTGGACAAAAAAATAACCCTTTCTTATTCTGACTTTGGAGCAAGTACCTGAAAATTCCACTGTAAGTTCAAATCCAATTCATCCCATTCTGTAAAACTCAGTGAAATTATATTCTTCATAGCTGGTTAAATTTCTCCTACTATTTTAGCAGAGAAAGTTAATGAGCTCCAATATTATCTCATTTGTACATCAAGTGCTGGAATCACTGATGTTTTCTTTCCAATAATTCTGTTATCTGAAAGTTGTACACTGGTCTTTCTTCAGGGTTTTCAATGTACTTAGTTATGTCAGTCTTGATTATAAGCATAATGTTGTTAAGCATACGTCATGTGCTGCAAGCATTCGCAAAGATGTTCGATGTGTTGTCTATAGACATGTGATGGCATTTGACAGAAAGCAGGTGAAAGAAAATGTGGAATTTCATGTGAAATGTTCAATGCTCGTATCTCCTTTTTTGTGACATCAAGAATTCTGACTGGCTTTGGTTCCTCCTCGAAATTCAGGATGTTCTGTTCAAAGCAAGACAATCCAGGGATAACATCTCACAAGCAAGCTGATAGGGTTTAGGGAGTTGTGGTGCTACATTGTCCTCAGCTGATACAAACACATGACTGTCAGGGACCCACTGAGTTCAGTGTCCTCTTGTTGTATGCAATCCTGTCATAAAACCTTGTTCATTTTGCAAGAGACTTCAGCACACACTTAAATTTAAGGCTCTTGAATCAAACTGTATTTAAGGATATTTGTAAGAGTGGGATTTTCAAAAACAGCCAAGGCTAATCTAATTCTGGAAACCTATGGGAATTGCATCACCAAATTTAGTGCAAACTTTAAGGAGTCAGTCCTATTTGTACAGTTTCTCAGTAAAAGGAATTTGAGCATACAGTTGCATTGCTGAAATGGATTTATTTTGTCATGATTATTGCCACTATTTATAATGCTGTATGATGTCAGCTGAGAGGAGGCCCTGTTGCAGATGACCCATGCAGTCTGTATGTTTCTGATCAGTAGTGTGATTTTTAGGAATATTTTACTGTTTCAGAATCATTGTGAAGAAATTATGTAAGTGTAAATGAGTCATGAAGACATTGCTGTGCCAATATCAAGTTGCCGATGTATTTGGACAATGAAGAGTAAAATTTGCAAATCCTATATTTAACCATATGCATTACAACAGTGATGACAACTAAGTGTTCTTGTACTGGGTCACGCTGCTTGTTCAAATATTTATTTGCTTCAAGTATTGAGGGTCATATATTGGAATTCTGGGAAATATGTTTCTCATTCTGTGCTCCTTACATCCATACATAGCAACAATATGGTAAACAGACCTTTAAGAAATAGTGTAAGAAACAATGATCTTAAACTATACTGTAGTTTAAACACAGTAAAAAATTCTATATCTATTCTATATTCTAAATTCTATCTATTCTATATCTAAATCATCTGTGCAGTGAAGTAAAAGGTCAGATGTTAAGGGCTGTTGTTCTGTGATGTTTGGGATGCTCCTGCATTGTAAATAACACATGAGGAAATGGAGAGGATGCATTTCTATAATCTAGAAATCTGAAAATTCAATGTTGTTTCAAAAGCATTATTGTTTTTTCACTTCAGAATAGCCTGAGGAAGACAGACTGGGGAGAATGATAGACCATTAAAATTTATGGACAGCCTATTTGAGGTAAATTACATTGTGGAGTTCACCTACCCAGGGCAATGAACAAGAAGGTGTACTAACTGTTATCTGAGGGAGAAGGGGGAAATACAGAAAGTTTGTAATGGGTGGGCAGGAGGGGATCAGCCAAGAAAGTTTCTTTGAGATGAAAGCACCAGTTGTAGTGTTCCGGCATCAGATGATTCTGAACCAGAAGCTTGGTGAAATTGATATGTTCCCCTGAGACTCAGCTTTGACCAGTGCCATAATGATGCTGACCTCTGCTGTAAAGAAATTTGAGATCTACTGATGAAAAGTTCTTGTATTGTTAAGAAGTCTGAGAAAGAACCCTAAGACAGATTATACAAGAACTTTTTTTACATGAAGGAAAGATTTAAGCCCCTGCTTTTTAGTTTGCTGTATGTGTCAAAATGTTGCATGTTTCATTTTGAGTCTCTGTCACTTTGTGTGTCTCATTTGAGCCTTGGCAAGAAAATGCAGCATCGATAAGTAGTAGCACAGACCATTAGCAAGTTACTAAATGAGACTGCTGAAAGAGGTGTAGTTCCTTACAGAATGCTGGGTCTGACAACACAGGAAACAGGAGTCTTACTTGAGGAGAGAAGACTGGCAGCTGGAAATTTCTGATGCACTGACTCCAAAACTGTCTCAAGTGGACAAAGGATGTCTAAGGAAGGTAGAAAAGTTTTATAGTCTTCCATCGCTTACCAGTAAAAGTAGCAAGTTTATCTTCATTAGAATGAGTAATTTTTGAGATTGTTCATATGAGTCAGTCTAGCTTGATTGATTTCAGCATTTTACTCCCAATAATCTAGCTCTAAAGTAATCTGATTTCTGTTTTTCTTATAGCATAACCATGCAAACAGCTTCAGTAGTTTCTCCTGGCATGCCCTGGTGTTGCTTGTACACCAGAGGTCACAACAATCCTCACCTATTCCAATCT